GATGGTGCTGTCACAGGTGCGTGGTGGGGCTTGAAGTCCGTAATGGTCTGTATCCCCTGCCGCAGGCTCCGAGTGTCTCTGCTGTCGCTGAAATGATGGGCTATCCTCCTGGAGTACTTTCTTTTTGCCTCTCTGATGCCGCGGGAAAGGTTGGCCCTAGCTGTCTTCAGGCCCACCTCATCTCCAGCTCTGAAGGCAGCGTTCCACATCTTCAGGAGTCCGTAGACCTCCCGTTAGCCACGGCTTCTGGTTGGCCCGGACAGTGATGGTCTTTGTGACTGTTACATCATCAATGCACTTGGTGATGTAGGCAGTGACAGTCTCTGAGTACTCCTGGAGGTCTGTGGTGTTATAAACATATTCCAGTCAGTGGTGTTAAAACAGTCTTGAAGAGCCTCTGACGACCCTTCCGGCCACACTTGTATCTGTTTGTGAACTGGTTTGGTGACTTTAACAAGTGGTCTGTATGCAGGCATTAGCATGACAGTGATGTGGTCTGAGGCACCGAGGTGGCTCATATGACAATGAACTGCAAACAAATCAAATTAATTACATATGATTTTATTAATTTTATTCTGTTAATTTAATATTTAATGATATTGTATTATTCTATATATAGAATATATATAGCTGATTAACTAGAAAAAAATTATTACATATTTATATTTTATTAATTTTAATATTCAATTATTAATTATATTTTAATTGTATGTTACAGATGTGTTCAATAAAACAAAACCAACAATCTAGCCAATGAACAAGAAAAAATTAATTTTATTTTAATTTATTAATTTTTATAATAAAATTTATTAATTATATAATAATAATAATAATATATCATATTACATATGTTTTTGATAAAACAAAACTCACAATATCTAGCTGATTAACAAGAAAAAATATAAATATTAATATAATTTCTAATTATTTAAACATTCTATTATATTAAATTATATTATATTACATATGTTTTTGATAATCATATATTAAATTATATTACATATGTTTTTGATAAAACAAAACGCACAATATCTAGCTGATTAACAAGAAAAAAAATATTAATATAATTTGTAATTTAATCATATTATATTAAATTATATTATATTACATATGTTTTTGATAAAACAAAACTCACACTATCTAGCTGATTAACAAGAAAAAAATATATATTAATATAATTTGTAATTATTTAATCATTATATTATATTAAAAATTTGTAATTATTTCATCATATTATATTATATTACAGATGTTTTTGATAAAACACAATATCTAGCTGATTAAAAAGAAAAATTCTAAATATTAAATATAATTTAAAAAATGTATTATTATATTATAAATGTATTTAATAGGACAAAACCCACAATATTCTAGCCGATGAACAAGAAAAAATGAGTCACTATAGAATCATTGCAACGACAGTGATGACTGAAACTGTGACCAAAATAATATCTGTAGCAACTATAATATTTTAAATCAACCACATTACTGGAAGCAACTGCATCGAGCCGTTTGCGATCGTACCATTCTGCGAAGATCTGCGAGAACTCCAGCGAGCCGTTGGCCACGGGGGAGATGAAGTAGAACGGGGTGCTGCCCAGGTTAGCCGAGTCCATGAACTGATACAGACACTCCAGCAGGTCACAGATGACCCCGGACGAATAACACAGCACCAGCACGGATCGTCATGGCTGAGGAGAGAGAAAGCGCACAGACATACTCGGAGTCAGACGCACTCTTACATAACACACCGGATCAGGCAGGTGTGTGAAACTCACCCAGGTTGCTGCAGAATCCTCCCAGCATGCCATCTGGGTTGGCGGTGGGGATCTGGGTCAGGCCTGTTAGGATGAGGACGTCGCTGTTCTTCAGAGAGCTCTGCTCCATGGGCTGCACCACACAATAACCCGTCAATAACTGATGAGAACCCTAATGAGCTGTCCAGCATACTGGCTACATCAGCAGTAACCTAAGTGACATTCACACACCTCACAAATGATATCAACAAAGTGTTTTTGTTTTTAAGTTTTAAATATTTTTCAGCTTTATTTCAGTTAATAGAAAAAGAGTATTGTTATTATTATTATTATTATTATTATTATTATTAAAAGACTAAACTCACAACTGATATCAATGAAGTGTGATGTTAGCAGCATGTTATTTATTTTTGATTATTTATATACTATTATGGTATTTATTGATATTTTGATATTATAATTAAAATTTTTAAAATAAAATCAAAATATAACAAAATTTAATATACATTTAGTCCACAAGGTGTGATTCTCTATTGCTTAATTGCTTAAACTCTAGTAGAATTTTGTGTTTGTTATGTAATATGTACACTGCTGTTCAAAAGTTTGGGATCAGCAAGATTTATAATGTGTTTTACAGAAGTCTCTTCTGCTCATCAAGGCTGCTTTTATTTGACCAAAAATGCAGTAAAAACAGTAATATTGTGAAATATTATTACAATTTAAATGACTGGCTTTCTATGTGAATATATTTTAAAATGTAATTTATTTCTGTGATCAAAGCTGAATTTTCAGCATCATTACTCCAGTCTTCAGTGTCACATGATCCAATATGCTGGTTTATTATCAATATTGAAAATACTATTATGGTATTTATTGATATTTTGAATTAGCTTTTATTTTTTGTATTTTCAGTGAGCAATTTTGTCATGTGCTTTGGTCATTTTTATAATTTTATTTTTTAGCTATATTTTTTTGATATTTATATTTCATTTTAAGTTTTAGTGATTTTGTTATGTGCTTTAGCCTTTTTTAATCGGTTTTCTTTTTTTATAGCTGTCATTTATTTTATTGTATTAATTTGAGTAATTTTAGTACTTAATCTTATTTCAGTTAGTTGCAACAGTTCTAATTTTTCTCATTTCAACTTTTCTAAAAAGCACTCGACCGGTGTTATTTATATTATGTATTATTTATATATTATTGTGGTGTTTATTAATATTTTTGAATTAGCTCTCATCATTATTTTTTCAGTTCATTTACATTTTTGTGTTTAAGTTTTAGTAATTTTGTAATGTGCTTTTATCACTTTTATTAGTTGTAGCTTTTTTTATATTTCTATATAGCTTTAATTTTTATTTTTTTTGTCATTTTGGTTCTTTAACATTGGTCTTGTTTTATTTCAGTTAGTTGCCAAGACAACATTTTTCATTTTTGTTTAGTTTTTTTTAAGTTTTTCATCTAATATTTAGATTTGAGTTTTTTCAGCTTTATTTCAGTTAACAAAAATGGTTTTAATTTGAGTTAGCAATAATAACACTGGACTCGATTTACGATTGATTTCAATGTTGCTATGCCATGCATAAAATAAATACATTTTTAAATATTACTATTCATTTAATTTTCTTTTAAATGAATATTTTATTTATATTTTATGATTTAATATATTTTATATGATACTGAATAAATGAATAATCAACATTTCTCTTGGCTTGGATGATTTTTTCATGCATTATGGGATAGTGTGTTGGCAGGCATGTGGCGTCACCCGAGGCTGTGTGGTGAGCAGACGAGCCAGACACATAAGACACTTTCTCATAATGCGACTGAATGATCCAGTTTGAGCTGCCCAGAGAGTATCCCCAACTCAACGGCGTATTTTATTATGTATTAAATAGTCATATTTCATATAAAATTACATATAATTTACTATATAACTGTCTATTATATTATAGATGTCTTTAATAAGACAAATCCCACAATATTGAACTGATGAACTACAAAAAATAATAATAATAATATACAACAGCAACCTAAAATACACATAAACACCTTAATGAGATTTCTCATTCATGCACCCTGGAGAATTGTTGTCTAAGTTGGTGGTTTTTGGCCAGAAGGAGCAGCAGTGTGGAGTTGAGTAGCTCTGTATTTCTTTGTTCTTCCAGCAGGTGGCAGCACGAGCCTCTGGTACTCTCTCCATGAAGGTCACCAGCTCCTCCCTCCATCAGCAGCCTGAAGCACACAACAGGTGATAGTGCAAGATGTCCTCTCTTACTGTCAAATCAAACGAGGAATTCAGTGTCAGCTAATGTGAGATCATTCAAGTTACATTCATTACTATTCAAAGGTTTGGGGTCGGTAGAACTTTTGAATGTTTTTGAATGTTTAAAAGTCTCTTCTGCTCACTAAGGCTGCATTTATTTGATCAATACTGTAAAAATGTGAAATATTATGTCATTTAAAATAACTGTTTTCTAAGTGAAACTATGTTAAACTAATGTATTGCTGTGATCAAAGTAGAATCTTCAGCATCACATGATTCTTCAGAAATCATTCTAATATGCTGGTTTATTATCAATGTTGAAATCAGTTTTACTGCTCCATATTATTTTGGAACCTGTGATACTTTTTTCAGGATTCTTTGATGAATAAAGTTAAAAAGAACAGCGTTTATTTAAAATAGAAATCTCTTCTAACAATACAAGTCTTTAATATCACTTTTTTATCAATTTAACACATCCTTGCTGAACGAAAGCATTCATTTCTTTAAAAAAAATAAAATTTAATGACCCCAAACTTTTGAACAGTAGTGTATATTGTTACCAAAAGATTTCTATTTTAAATAAACACTGTTCTTTTTAACATTTTTTTTTTCATCAAAGAATCCTGAAAAAAGTATCACAGGTTCCAAAAAAAAATATGGAGCAGCAAAACTGTTTTCAATATTGATAATAAATCAGCATCTTAGAATGATTTCTGAAGATCATGTGATGCTGAAGACTGGAGTAATGATGCTGAAAATTCATCTTTGCATCACAGAAATAAATTACATTTTACAATATATTCAAATATAAAACTGTTATTTTAAATTGCAAAAATATTTCACAATATTACTGTTTTTCTGTATTTCTGATCAAATAAATGCAGCCTTGATGAGCAGAAGAGACTTCTTTAAAACACATTAAAAATCTTACTGATCCCAAACTTTTGAACAGCAGTGTATTATGTTGTATTCTGATTGATCCAGATGATAATAATAATAGTAATGTTGATCTATGGTTTAAACTTGAGCACATTACAGGGCAGAGTGGGGTGACCTGACAGACAACACACCACACACACACACACCACACACACACACCCCACACACACCAC